GACTTCCCCGTGTTCTACAGAGCGCTGTTACCGTGAGTCCTGCCTCTGGGACCCGGCGGGCGAGAGCCCTGGGTGCCCCAGCCTTGCTCGCAGCGAGCCGGACTGAGCCCACGCTCCCACGTCAGCGATGGAGGGGTCTGCGTGGCCCGTTGGGACTGGCCGGAGGACAGGGACCCCAGCATCAGGCTCCCCGTCCAACTCCTCCAGGTTGCAGCCAGAGCAGTTTCCCCTTCTCCACCGGGTCAGGAGAAGCTGAAGTGCTCCGGCTGCCGCAGTGCCAAGCCTCTCCATTGTGACTTCTCCCTCTTTTGTGTTCAGAACCTTTCTGCTTTTTAAGGAAGGCAGAGAGCAAATTGAGAGACCTGCGCCTTCAATTACAGGTGTATTATAATGGGCTTTTAAATCAGTTTGTGCCACTCCAACACAACCATAATTAAGAGAAAAGCAGCTTCATCCTTCCATCACTGAAGGTATTGAAGTCTGTGGGCGCAAGGAAGGGCAAACACAGCCTTAGAGCCTCTTTCCAGTGACACTGCTCGCTCACCTAGGCTTGTATACAAAAACCTTACAACGGCAGGAGACGATCCTGCCCCCCCCAGGCCCCCTCTGCCCTGGGTTAGCACGATTATCCCCTTCCCCGCCGGCACGCCGGGTTTGGCCCGGCTTTGCTGAAGGACCGAGCCCCCTCTTCACAAAGCTGGCAGCAGCCAAAGACGTGAGGAACGAAGCCTGGAAACGAAGAGGACGTAGGTAATGACTTTACTAAGCAATTAATAAATAACTAATGGCAATTGCTCGTTTTAAAGCAGGGCGTAATGAGATGTGTCATACGGCACTGAGATGTGCCTAAATGATTTCCCAAGTAGGTAACGGCTCCTGTTGCAGCAAACCTCTCCCCGGGCTTGGAGGACACGAAATTTTTTACGCCCGTCTCTGCAGCAGGTTATACAGCACGGCTTCATAATAATTCAGAGGAGGAGGGGGGAAACAAGACGTTTCCAATCATTCATTAGTAAAGTATTTGTGAACGCGGGTATAATTCACTGCATAAGCAGCAGGGTTTCTGCAGACAAACTTTATAGC